AGGAAACAATCGATATGAAGTTGTAAGAGTAGGCGAAGGCGAGGGGCCTAAAATTACGTCTACGGCTGCTGACTATATGAAGACGTATTTGTGTAACACTCCGGGGACGAAGTGAGCGCAGGTATGGCCGAACGTAGGAAGTCTTAGTTTTAAGGAGTACAACGATGCGCGTAGTAGCGAGTGAGACCCCTAGGTAGCGCGGTGGGCATACGAGAGAGGGCGCCGTTCGTTCTTTTCGTGCTTACGTTGTTCGTTCGTTCGTTATCGAGAAGAAGTGATTCTTGTAACCGTCCCTCGACGATATCATTTATTTTTGTATCTTCCGTATTTCCGTTTTGTGAATAAACACATTTCTACATATATAATACTATTTCATATTTATAATATATATTAGCATATAATAAAAAAATGTTATTTCTTGAATACTGTGTTTAACATTAACCTAATATTTTATACTAATCTTAGCTTAAATGAATACACATTTTTTTATTTAATAGCAAAAAAGTTTGTTTTTCTATAAAATTTTGAAGTAGTCGCATTAATATAGCTAGGGACTGTACACAGTAAGTCTGAAAGACAACGGGATGGACAACATATATGAATTCAAACACTGATCATATTTCGAAAAATCGTTCATACTAGTACTGTGTATAAAGTTCTCGGTCAAGCAGACCAGCTACCAAAGCAGTCAAAATGAATGGTTGGTACATTTTTATAACGATGATTAAATGTTACAAGAATGGATTTTCTCAGATGTTTCATACCTTTCACTGCAATATGAAAATTAAAAAAATTAGCTAAGTTGTAAATTTGAATAATTCCAAACATGTATTGTCATGTTTATCCATTACGATAGAAGTAGATATACGTCTATCTTCGGTAGCTCTAGTTCAGTTATCGACATTTAATAATTGCTAAACTTATTCAAGAAGTATTACTTTATTATAAATATCGGAATTTCCACTATTAATTAATTAAAAATGACAAAGTACAGTTCATTCGTTATTCGAAACTATTTATCCAGATAATGAAAAAGTCCATCATGTGCAGTGTACCTACATGCGGTTTCGCAAACAACGAGATTGAAAAACTTAATTAATATAAAAATATACGCGTGGCACATACATCGTGATGTTTTTAGTGAGTTACAAGGGCTCGACTCTGTTTCACTGACGAATGATATTTTGGTAGCAGACAGTGGATGCTAGGACGTTTTCAAAATAACAGAGTTTCGCCAGTATGCCAACAGAATTAATGCTCGTTGGCAATAAATAGGACGAAGGATGCTGTTTTCGATTCGTCTTTCGTCGGCGTTGCAACGCGCTCATCAGAGTTCCATGACATTGTCAAACGATTATTTAGAGGGAAGCTGTTTCACGACCCAAAAACGTTTTGTATTAAAACTATAGGATTGTAGCTGCATTTTTATAAACTTCAAGTAAATCAGAAAAAAAATCATTTATAAAATTATTGCTTTAACTTAACAGTAAAATCCAATTGAGAACCTTGCAACTATAGGATTGTAGCTCCATTTTCATAAACTTCAAGTAAATCAGAAAAAAAATCATTTATAAAATTATTGCTTTAACTTAACAGTAAAAATAGAACACTAATTGAAAAACCTATATTTTTATACAATAAGTAGTAGTTATAGAGTTGATAAGTTTTTGTTTCTATTTTTGGTGAATTTTTCAAATCTGGAGCTGCACCCGACTCGCGCCAAAGTGTACGAAAAACGGTCGCTTTTTGTTAACTATGCACAATAAAGGATACAATTTCTTGATTTATTGTTGCATCATTAATCAAATATAGTAAACATATGTTGAAATTTTTATGTCTACAAAAAATGTCAACATATTATCTTTGATTGACCATCATAACCTAAAAATTACTTCTTGATGTCTGTTTAATACATTCGAAGCACATAATCTATAAGATGCATACATATGTACACAGTTACAGTAACAAATTTCTGGGACTAATTTTCAATCAAGAATGCCTGATTACAGTTTCCGATTCGCGTGGAATCGTTCATCGAGAATTCATACCGTCAGGTAAAACTGTTAATGGACAGTTTGATCATGACCGTTATTCTAGCGAGTCAGACCAAATTTCTACTAATCCGGTGAGTGGTTTTTCGATACCACGACAATGCTTTATCTCTGATCGATGATTCATTTTTGGCTTGCAAATCGGTTACGGGGTTGATAACACGTTCCCCTCTAACTCGCCCGGATCTGGTTCTGGCCGACTTCGCCTCTTTCCGAGGTCTAAGGTAACTGTAAAAACAAACTCGTTTCGAGGACGCGGAAATAATTAAAAGCAGAGTGACGAATTCAAATAGTATTTCAGAAGAAAAATTTTCCACACGTTTCCAGCGATTTATGATCGTTGCCAAGAGTGAATAGAGAGAGGATGGGATTATGTTGAACGTTAACCCCTTAACGTTCACTTTGTTTTTTGACAAAAATCGTGAAAAGGAATCACTTCTGTTTATCCAAGGAAATTTTTATTTCAATATTTTTTTGTACAATACTTACATAAATATGGGAACAAAAAATAAGATATTTAATGAAACACATTCATTTTATTTCTGCAAGTTATGTATGCAAACGTTTCATACTAACAAGGGAATATCGGGGACTGATGCACTCTGATTTTGATGGAACTTTGCATAAATATTTATTAGACCTATCTAAGAAGATAGCTGTAATTCGTTCGTGTCCGTTTTTCACTTTGAGGGAGATATCAACCCCTTCATCCGAACTTTTTATTTTACTTAATTATGCTTTCCTTAATATTTTCAGGAATATAGAAACATGTTGGCCGGGCACAGATACTTATTACGCGCCGCGCCCAGCCGCGTGATTGTTACCAATATAATTGGTTATTACTCCGAAGTCGCAAGGATGTGCAAGTTCAGCTCTTACAGTTACATTCCTCATACTATAGGCTATCGAATAATATAAGTTTTAAGGATTCACCTCCATTTCGAAAAATGTAACACGCGATTAAGTAAAATAGTCACATAATTTCTTGTATTTATGTTATTTACAACTATTTATATACTTTAATAGCATAAAATGAATGCATCACTTCATTCTATAAATAAATGAAAAATTGTTCAATATCTGAAGAGCGAATTTATACAAACTATTGACCTCTTAGTATCCGCGCGCTCAATATCTTCGTCTCTCATACAATCGCTACCTCTGTTAGTCTTTTTTAAATTTTATGCTGTAATTAACTTAAAATATTACAAAAAAATCAGACAGCACTGTTAAACAAATTATAAAATTCTTTTATCGACATTTCCTCCCCCTACTGGGCTTAATTTTAGTATAACAAAATTTTGGACCTGAAAATCAAATTTTGCGACTCCAAAACCCCCGAATGACGATTTTTGTAATGATAAACGGTAAAATGTAGACGTAAGGGTATTTTATCGCGTTTTCCGCGATTCGTACCATTGTGACGTTGATTTGATACTATTATATTTGAAATTGCTCATTCGGGTTACGCCACAATTAGGGTCGATCCACACTATCAATCCGCTCTCGCCTCGTTCCCACTCCGTTCTCGGTTCGATCACATCCCTGAGTATCCACACTACAGAGCCGCTTGCGGTCAGGTTACGTTTTATTCTCGACACGATCACATACCTCAGTTCATTTTCCACCTTCCTACTATCAAATTCATAATTATTTTCTACGATACAATGGCAGTATTTTCAAATAATGAATTGGTTATAATTGCTATTGCATTGGACGATGAAAGTGAAGAGTGCCAAAGAAAAGAACCCAGGAGGTCAATGTGGACTCATCCAAGTTTGATGAAGAGAAAAACTGAAGGGGAATATTTTACATTATATTCTCATTTAGTGGATGATGACGACAAATTCATGAAATATTTCCGAATGAGTTCAGGTACATTCGAAATGATACTATCAAAAATCGAAAGAAGAATTTCGAAAAAAAATACCCGATTTCGCGAAGCTATTTCTCCCAGGGAAAAATTAGTTGTATGTTTAAGGTAAATAATACTTTTTTGAATATTAAAATACGTTAACGAATACCGTACTCATCACAGAATGCAAAATTAACATAGATATCCATAATCTGTATACAGTAAGGCATGTTACAACGAACTAATTGGTTCTAAAACCTCATTCGTTATAGCATCTGTTTGTTGTAGCATTGAATATTGAATATTGAAATATTGTATGTAATTTCATAAACAATAGCAAAGACTGTTATTAACAGATTCGCATCATCAGTTTTTTCTTTACCATGGTAACGATAGCGGGCTGAGACAATTGGCAGAATGGCCAATCGTATTTTCCCGCGTTTGTTATAACATATTCATTCGTTGTAGCATTCTGATTGTAATAATAAAAACTGTACGCTGTAGCGTTCGTTCGTTGTAACATCGTCCGCCCGTAGCATACCCCAATGTATGTATATGTATATGTATATAAAAGGAGAAGTCCTGACTGACTCATCAACGCTAATCCCCAACCGCTAAATCTAAAAACACGAAATTTTAGAGATAGTTTCCCCTTAGTGCGTAGGCATCCACTAAAAATGGATTTTTCGAAATTCAACCCCTAAAGAGGTGAAGAAGTATGCTTTGTCTGACAGCTATATTTTACATATAGTCTGACAGTGACTTTTAAAATCATTAAAATATTTATTTACATGGATAGAATGAACTTGTGTTTGGAGATTATTATGTAAGAATATAAATTTGTATAAACATCCGCAGCCTAGTTATAAGCGAATATTGAACACGACATAAAATAAGTAACAATAGAATTATCATTCGCACTTATGTGTTAATTACATATAATAACAATAAATAATAATAATACATCTTGCTAAGCTACAAAACATAATATCGTAAAGAATGACTTAAGAGAGAAAGAAAAAAGTAAATATAGTCTGCTGTTATTAAAACCTAATCCTAAACTCATTTTTCTCTAGTCTGTAATATGATACATATTATAAATTTTCATAATTTGGTTCGTCGTAGTTGCTCATAAATGTGTTAGTTTGACATTCTTGTAAATTATGTGATGATTGAGTAGTTTGTGTGAAATGCGATGGAGACTGCATCAAGTATTTTGCTTCGATGTCGTTTATTAATGAAAAGATTTTAGTTTTGACAAAATGTTGATCCAAAGGGGTGAAAGTTTTTACTGAATCCGCCATTACAGAAAAACAATTGGCTATGGGATCAGGAGTTTTACTTTCTTCCTCCTTTTTTTCTAATAAATATTTAAGTAGTGTCGTTGATGCAGTCTCACGTGCGCGTGTTTTCTGTGTTTTGTTTACGTTTTGTGTGTTGTTATGTCTGTTCTGTTCATTTTTGTTTTGTGAAGTGGTAGGGTCTTCAACGTCTTTTCCTGCAGAAGACAGGTTTTCTTCACCTTCAATAAAGTTTTCCTCGTGTTCAATCGAGGTTACTCGTGGTCTTTCGATATTTACAAATTCACTTAAAAAGGCCATCTGGTCGTGGAATTTCCACTTTGCTACTTTTATAGCTGCTTGCCCGCTTTTCGTTTTTTGTTTATTTAAATATTTTCGATATTGGGATCTTAACGATTCCCAACGTACTTTTGCATCTGCAAATTAAAGAGACAAACGATAATATTATACTACATAAATCTATAGTATATAAAATTGTTAATAGTATAAAAATGTTAATAATAAAGATAACTAAATATACATACTAAATATTTTATTTCTTATAGATTTCTAGCAACAGGAGATTCGTACCGAACAATAGCATTCAGCTATCGTCTTGGTCACTCTACCGTACAAGCAATTGTTCTGGAAGTGTGTCAAGCAATTAATGACGTATTATTGGCTGAATTTATTTCAACCCCACGGAAAGAAGACTGGCTAAAAATTGCGACAGACATATGGACTATGTGGAATTTCCCGAATTGCCTAGGAGCCATCGACGGAAAGCATATTATAATAGATGTTCCAGCAAACAGTGGATCGCTCTATTACAATTATAAAAAAACTTTTTCCATTGTACTGTTGGCTCTCGTAGACGCAAACTATCGATTTATAGCTGTGGATGTAGGCTCTTTTGGCAAAAATAGCGATAGCGGTATTTTTGCTAGTTCTAATTTAGGAAAATCTTTCGAAAATGAGAAATTAGATGTTCCTGCAGACTGTGTACTTCCAGGAACAAATATTGTAGCACCATACGTTATACTCGGGGACGAAGCATTCCCATTAAAAAAATATTTGATGAGACCATTTCCAGGAACACAGAGTATCGAAGATGTTGAAAAACGCATCTTTAATTATCGTTTATGTAGAGTACGAAGATTAGTTGAATGTACGTTTGGGATTTTGTCCCAAACTTTCCGAATTTATTGCAGAAGACTAAAAGCAGAACCACAGAATGCGACAACAATAATTTTAACAACGTGCATACTGCATAATATAATTCGAAATAATCGGGTGATCAGTTTGGATACCACGGCAGAAGGATGTAATTTGAATAATGTTCAAAATCTGCAACGACAGGGAGGAAATGCCCAAACCGATGCTTTTCTTGTACGAAATGCTTTTAAAAATTATTTTAATTCACCAGTAGGTTCTCTACCGTGGCAACACGATAAAATTTAATGTAATAAAATTTCACTACAGTTACCATTTTGGTTCAGGGATTTTTCTATCCCATTCCAAATTTTTCTTTTATAGTTATTATCACTATAAAATGGTGACTGCAAATTATATAACCCATCGTTGGCCTTTACTAATTCAATAAGCATTTCATCTAAAAATAAAAAAATTCACCACATTAAAGTTTTATCTAATTGTTCAATATACACATGTATGCGTATACATATAAAAATGAAAAGAAATTTAGTAATTAATTTATAATTATATGTGTAGTGGTATCACCGACCTCTACCTACTCGGCGGCGGTATATACATATATATACATACCTTTTTCAAAATTCCAACACTTTGCATTGGCCATTGTTAATATTTGAAAAATCGTATTGATTGGTAGTAAATCGAGAAACGTGTTACAATCGTTTCGGTTCTGGACAAGCCCGATCTCGCTCCAGTAAAATATTGTTTTCGAGGATAGTTACTAGGATGCGATCGAACTGAGATTGGAGCGTTACCCATAATGTGAATATGTCTATTTTAAACCATGGAAGAATATTTGATCGAACCGAGAACGGAGTGGGAACGAAGCGAGAGCGGATCGATAGTGTGGATCGACCCTAACTGTACGTGCTTATGAGTCGTGAACAACAAAAGATATGAAAAAATAATTTAAATAAAAGTTATGCCGTTTCTTGAGATTTATAAAGCTGCGTGTAAATTTTTTTGAAAAAATTATTCTTTTTGGAAAATTGAATTCCCCCCCCCTCGTTTTCGAAAAACTTTATTTTTGTTTAATCGATAAAAGTAGCTTTATAGATCTCTAGAAACGGTATAACTTTATTAAGGGGAAAAGTTTATAATCCGCGCCAACTGGTGTACAACACCATCCAGTGCGATTCTCCTAATGTAATCGGCCGGATGCCCGAGTCAGTTGTTCGAACCATCTGAACACGAAGCGACATTTTGTAATTCAGATCGTCTTTATATTCGAAATAAATCTGTCTGCTATTAAACGCACTCAGCCGATAGTGTATTCACGCATCAACTCTAACATATTTCAACCATTTTTTGATATCTCTTGTTGTTTACGACTGTTGCGGCGATCAGCGTCGATAACGTAGTCACTTGTCTCGCGTAAATAAGTGGCTCGCGGTTCGCGTTGTGTTCCCCCTCGACGCCGTGCTCGACGGTGCCACCCACGCGTTTGTATATATTGATCGTTCGAGCTATGTATCCTTCTTCTTGTCTTCGTCCTGTCTTGTCGCGTCTCGTCGCTTTGTCTGTTAACTTCTCGAAACGTGTGCCGAAGCACGTGCTACACGTGAATTAAACGAGGTAACAGTACCGCCAATTGTTCGTTTCTTTTCTTTCCTCAATTTCGGATCGGGGCGTGTAAAGTCTTTCTCCGTTCACCACGATAGCTGTCATTCTATTCCCGCACGCTCAAACAACGACTTATAAGCACGTATATGTATAGAAAAGGCAGTTCGGCTAAAAGGGTTGATATCTCACAAGATCTGTTGAGTGTTTTCTTATGAGTCTACGGTTGATGGGTGTATAGTGTATAGTAGAGTGAACCTTAGCTATACCTGGTGAAAATTTCTTTGCGAGATTTTTTTCACGCCGCCCCCTAAAATTGTCCCATTGGGTAAGGTAATAATTCCTGTAAAAGACAAAGTTGATCGGATAACAAGAAGACGTGGCACATCCATGTTAAAGTTTGAAATAAATATGAAATTTGGTATGAATGGAAATATGTGGCGAAAAGACTTTTAATTATGCTTAAACGTTCTTCTTGTGCACAATATTGACAATAATGATATCACAATATAATTTTTTCAATATAGTAGTTAAGTAATACTTATGTTTTTTTTAATTATGTATGTTAAATATTATATTTTGCGTATTTTACTGAAAGTACCAATTCTTTCAGTTATTTTCTTATATTATTTGTAAATTAGTAATAATATTAATTTAAAAAGTTGATGAGCGAATGTTCGACATTAATATTTCATATTTAATAATAATATCCATATGTTTAACTTGAAGTGGTGAATATTATACCATAAGGAGACGATGAAAAGAAATACGGTTATTGAATTTCAACACTTTTTAATAGACGCAAAACAACAATTCTAAAAACAAATTACAAATTTTTCATTTTGTGACTGGATAACGATTTCTATAATCTGATACAATTTGCATTATACATTGTTTCTCCTCTTCAATACGTGATATCTAATGCATCATTAAACTCTTGCAAGAGTTCTGCTGAATCATTAACTACAGCTAAGTTACGTACTATATTTAAGCCTACGTTATAATTAGGATCACTTGGTCAGTCTGAAGGATCCTTGTATATAAAATCTATAGAAATTGAAGACATCTATATAAGACGGATTCGGATTATTTGGACGATGATGATGGCTTCACTGTTTCTTCTTAATTGAATGATACATATAAAAACATGAGAGTAAAGAAACGTAATATCGGATAACACAAATTATATAACTATGTAAAAATACACATCTTGTAAACTTGCTTAATATTTCTGACATCTCAACTCTTCTTTTCCATGACGAAGTGTTTGTGGTCTTTCCTTCTCTAATAAGACGCGATTGCCCCCTATCATGTATCCGGGTCGTCCTTTTTTCCTTTGATTTATAAGGAACGCTTTATCTTCTTCAATACTCGTCGTGTCCGAAGCACCAGCATGAGCAATGTCGAAAAGATCGTTTAATTTTTTAAGAAAATCGCGTTATCGTTTTTCCTGCAATGGTGTTCGGTGTTTGCATGTCATCTGCAATGTCTTCCACTCCTGGTACAATGCTTCCACTTTTTCAATGGTTCTATCTAATTTCCGTGTTGGAATACGAGCTTTCTCTCATAGAACCTGGACTTCTTTCATAATCAGGTGAGCATTTGAGCAAATATTTAATTTTACTTTACGCAATTTCAGATACAATAACTTATTCAATAATGCACAATTCAAAATTCCAATTTATCCCTATTTTATATTTGGTATATAGTTTTCACACACAAATGTACAAGGAAATTTATTAAAATTTGAATTAAAACTATTAATCATAACTGATTAAAACTAAATGTATTGTTTAAACAAATGGATTATTCTGGAATCCAATTATATAGCTGGATTCCTTATAAAAAACAGACAGTATTGCAATTTATACCGTTTTTCTATCTCTAATAGTTTCCGAGATATTCGACAGAATACAGTTCACACCCCTAACTTTGAGGCTTGTTTTCACCCCTTTAACGTGGATAACAGCAGCTAAAAAAAATTTGTGACAAATATTTTTATGAGAACTATAATCTCACACAGTTGCATCAAAATCGGCGGTTATCATTCGGTATGTTCCCTTGTTAGGACAAAATGACAGAAAAACGAAATGATCACCAGTCTGCACCGCCTTTTTGAAAGCACATGTACATACAGTGGCGAACAAAAGTATTGGCACAGGAGGTATTTCTATACATAATGTTAAATAAATATGAAAAGAACGCAATTTCTTGTTTAATCCTTTTTTCAAATATAAGTCTGGACTCCGAAGTTCAAATATATTACAAGTCATGAAAGTTAAATAGACCTATAACAAAGAAAAAAAATAAAAACCATATCATGGCTCGTTTGCAGCGGAACAAAAGTATTGGCACACATAAAACTTTCATGTTTCTAGGGAATTTTCAAATAAATATTTCGAATGTTTGTACGACTGTCATGCCTGCGAATGTTTCACGATTCAGTTTGATGTTCATTTATCATAAATTGTGGCCAGTATTGTTGTAAAAACAAAAACGCACAAAAATGGGTCGCAAATCGCAGGAGACAACAATTTCTGAAAGGAAAATAATATTGAATTTATCAAAAGAAGGAAAGTCTTACTCAGCTATTGCAAAAATAGTAAATAGAAGTCGTTTTACGATAAGAAGTGTCGTTAAACGATTTTCTAACACGGAAAATTTAAGAAATTCTGATAGAAGTGGCCGGCCACAAAAATTGACCGTTAGAGAGAAGAGAAAAATTATTAACACAATAAAGAAAAATCCTACTACTACCTCTTCAGAAGTAGCAGCACAATTAGAAAATGAAACTAATGTAAAAGTTCATCCGATAACTATCCGTAGAACTCTTAGAGCTGCCGGATATAATTCAAGAATCGCAAGAAAGAAACCGCTCATTAGTATGACGAACAGAATAAAAAGATTAGAATTTTCAACAATGTATGTAAATAAAGATTTAAACTTTTGGGACAAAATTTTATTTTCGGATGAAAGCAAATTTAATATTTATCAATCGGATGGGCAAGTTAAAGTATGGCGGCAATGTAACACAGAATTAAATGAAAGGAACACCAGTAAAACGGTCAAACATGGGGGTGGCGGTCTGCTAGTATCGGGGTGCATGAGCTCTTCTGGCCTGGGAGAGCTTGTGTTTATTGATACTATAATGGATAAATATGTTCATTTAAACATTTTAAAACAAAATCTTAAAAAAAGCGTGAATAAATTATATCTCGGAAACGACTATTACTTCCAACAAGATCATGACCCTAAGCACACCGCCTATATTGTTCGACAATGGATAGTTTTCAGCACACCTCATACGTTACCCACTCCACCACAGTCACCGGATTTAAATCCTATCGAGCATATTTGGAACGAATTAGCTCGAAGATTAAAAAAACACCATATTGTGAATAAACAACAGTTAAAACAAGCAATTTTAGAAGAATGGCATAAAATAGGGTCAGTGATAACGAAAAAATTAGTGAATTCAATGCCTAATCGATTAAAAGAAGTTATTAGAAGAGAAGGTTTAAATACCAAATATTAGATCTTACAATATAACAAATTATATGAAAAAAACGTAGGTGTGCCAATACTTTTGTTCCGCTGAAAACGAGCCACGATGTGGTTTTTATTTTTTTTCTTTGTTACAGGTCTATTTAACTTTTATGACTTGTAATATATTTGAACTTCGGACTCCAGACTTATATTTGAAAAAAGGATTAAACAAGAAACTGCGTTCTTTTCATATTTATTTAACATTATGTATAGAAATACCTCCTGTGCCAATACTTTTGTTCGCCAGTGTATATTTCATACCAAATTTTTTTAAATCTTATTATAGTAGTAAATATTGGATAAAAGGATACATCTGGACTTGCTTTCATTTTCGTACAAACAAATGAAATTGAAAGGTTTGTTTTCACAAAAAAGGATTGCCTAGTCCCCTTAAGTTAAGGGGTTGAGTAATAAAACTTTGCTTATGTGTAAAACTTTTCTTTTGCGAAGAATGTCAGTTCGGGAAATCTTCTAAATGCACGTGTGTATGCACGTAGG